GGGGTGGGAGAAGGGAGACTTGTTAGTTGGAATGTTCAGTAACAGTTTGCTTACAACTAAATAGCAAGACTTAGAGAGACAAGAATAGCTGTAAGAGCTGGAGATTACTCCACATAAAGTAAATGACAAACTCGACATACAGGTATATCGGTTCTTTTTGTTGTAAAATGTCACAAGGACCTGCTTGAAATGTCTCATTTTTGAAGGTATCCATCCTAGAGGTATTGCTTGAGGTAGAACAGCAATAGATACTTACCCTACGTGGGAACCTTGGAGGAGGGACCCTGATTTTTCTGTTTTCCTTGGAACGATTCCTCACAACCTTGGAGTGAATTGCACAGCTGACACAGTAGTGAAGCTTCACATACAGTTTGGGAAGAGCATACACTGAAAAAATAATTTCAAATGAAGTCACCAGTGTTTTGGCAGAATTTGTCAAGAAATTTTACCACTTTACCACTTGTTCTGGATTATGGTCCTTACAGATCAAGTCTACAGCTAAAGTATACACCAAACCATCAAACCACCAAACCAATTGACAGAATTTTTATTTTGAGTTTATTTGTCTTTTAAAATTTTGCATCAGGATTTGATTTAGGGGTCCAGTCTCAAATGATGAATAAACAGTTACTACTGACTAAATGTCAGTTGACAGGGTAACAAATGCAACAGGAACATTGTTGCATGCCAAAGGCTTTCCTTGTAGTCTGTGAAAAGTTCATAAACCACTGCAGTCTAGAAGGAGATCAGTTGTGTGGTGCTGCCACATAATCTAACATCATTTTGGTATCATTGCTCAGGTGAATAAAAAGATGCAAGCCATCTGATTGGTCTCACAATACTTCCTACATTGTTGTATCTCCCTATAATCAACTAGCAAGAGATAATTATTCCAGGGGTTTTAATCTTTCAGAGCACACTGGCAGCAATTGGTTTTATGCTGGTCATTCTAAGCCATTTAAAACTTTCTAGCCGACAAACATTGACTTGACTACTACAACTTCTACAGTTTAGTTCAGTTTTCACTTTTGCCAAGTGCAGATTACAGATTGACCAAGTGATCTAAGCACAAGACCCTATGCATCTGTTCTTTAATGTGTGACAGGTTGGGAGTGAAGAAATAGACCACAATTTGGGTTTTTTTTTTTCATAATCACCTGAGGAATGAAACACTGAAACTACTGTTCCCCTAATGGCAAATGAATATGGTTGATCCACTTTGCCTTCCATGAAAACTTTTCAATTGTGTTTTTAATAGTCTTTGTTAGTATGAGCCTTTAAAGTGTGATGGAAGTGGTGATAACAATAACTTGGAAGCCACAAAAAAAGAAAGTGACCAAGGCAATGCCATGGATGTCTCAAGTGCAAAAAAGGAAACAAAAAACACTAATACATATTAAGGTTTGAGAAAGACTGTATGATCCTTGTTAGCATTTGAAATACATGAAAATGTAACACACTGTTTTATAGTTTTTCAACCTGGAAAACCTGGAAAAGAGCCTAAATATTCCATAGGAAGTTGTTCCTGGAATAGCTGGATATAGCAGTAACACAATTTCAAACTCTGTGTACAAAAATATATAAATTTATCTAACTTCACCTGTTTTTCTGTAACAGTCTATAAAGTTGCTAGTATGTCATTTCAGAACATCTTTAAAAGAAGAAAAATTCAATATTTAAAAAAAATTTACATAACAATCTCACCTTCATACACACTGGCATCAGCTATATCCCTGACTGCAGCTGCCTCCACAATATTCCTAATGACAAATTTCTTTATAGCCTTGTCCTTTGGGACACAACGTGCACAGTTTGTGCAACGAACAAACTTGACATGCCCGCGGCCATGCTTGGAACGTCCACAATTACGCCTCTTCTGGGTCTAAATAATACAAAGCAAAAAACACTTGAAGTAAGAATTTCTCCCATAAAGGAGGAATAATCCATCATTCACACTAATATAATACTGCAATTATTGAAATATGACGCATGCAAGATGTTTAGTGAGTAAGAAAGAATCATAAATGTTGCTCATGGTTAGGCTTTTTGAGCCCTATTAAACCTTTCCAAGTGCCTCATATTCCAGTGAATA